CCTAGACTAGTGAGCGGGCTCCATGAGTGGCCCTCCATCTCAGTGGGCCACAAGACTGTCATAACCAAGACAGTTTCCTGGGATAGGGTAGCTTTGCTAACTGTGCTTGTGTACCTAAAATTTGCAGTGTGTGCTGACTGAACTGTAGCAGCACTTTGGATACAGTGGGAATATACAGCTCACAACGTTGTATGCAGTCAGCACGTACATCACTTCACATGTCTTTGCTTTAAGTGTGTCACTTTTTTGTAATACAGGCAGTCCCCGACTTATGTGGATCCAACTTATGTCGGATCCGCAGTTACGAACGGGGCTGCCCCGGAGTACACGGACTGCGGGACCTCGCGGTCCCGCCGCCCGTGTACTCCGGGCGAGAAAAGCTGCTCCGCGTCTCCCTGGTCTGCAGACCAGGAAGACGCGGGCGGCGGACCGAGACGCACTGCGGTCCCGCCGCCTGGGTCCTCCGCGGCTTTGCTCCCAGTCTCCCTGGTCTGCTGGAGACCAGCAGACCAGGGAGACTGGGAGCAAAGCCGCGGAGGACCCAGGCGGCGGGACCGCAGTGCGTCTCGGTCCGCCGCCCGCGTCTTCCTGGTCTGCAGACCAGGAAGACGCGGGCGGCGGACCGAGACGCACTGCGGTCCCGCCGCCTGGGTCCTCCGCGGCTTTGCTCCCAGTCTCCCTGGTCTGCTGGAGACCAGCAGACCAGGGAGACTGGGAGCAAAGCCGCGGAGGACCCAGGCGGCGGGACCGCAGTGCGTCTCGGTCCGCCGCCCGCGTCTTCCTGGTCTGCAGACCAGGAAGACGCGGGCGGCGGACCGAGACGCACTGCGGTCCCGCCGCCTGGGTCCTCCGCGGCTTTGCTCCCAGTCTCCCTGGTCTGCTGGAGACCAGCAGACCAGGGAGACTGGGAGCAAAGCCGCGGAGGACCCAGGCGGCGGGACCGCAGTGCGTCTCGGTCCGCCGCCCGCGTCTTCCTGGTCTGCAGACCAGGAAGACGCGGGCGGCGGACCGAGACGCACTGCGGTCCCGCCGCCTGGGTCCTCCGCGGCTTTGCTCCCAGTCTCCCTGGTCTGCTGGAGACCAGCAGACCAGGGAGACTGGGAGCAAAGCCGCGGAGGACCCAGGCGGCGGGACCGCAGTGCGTCTCGGTCCGCCGCCCGCGTCTTCCTGGTCTGCAGACCAGGGAGACGCGGAGCAGCTTTTCTCGCCCGGAGTACACGGGCGGCGGGACCGCGAGGTCCCGCAGTCCGTGTACTCCGGGGCAGCCCCGTTCGTAACTGCGGATCCGACATAAGTTGGATCCACATAAGTCGGGGACTGCCTGTATTGGGAGAAAAAAACTACTTGGACCAAAACTAGCAGAGTATGGCAACCCTGTGCATGAGCAATGGTAAACAAAAGGTCTTGTGGGCTACACGCAGAACCCAAATGGTCTACATGTGGACCTTCGGCTACAGATTGCCCACCACCGGTCTAGTGCTTGTATCCTCACTATACAATTGGTCAATTCAAAAGCTCAGTGACCTATTGGTTACTATTGTTGAACATGACTTCAGGAACTTACTTCATAACTTCCTTTTGTCCTTATTCATTTGTAGTTGGTAATTGTACCTTCTGACCACACTCTCCTTTGGCTAAGTTACTTGCAGGTGTTAGCAATCTCCTAGATTGTGGGAGTTGTCATTTCAGGATGGTTTTTATGACACTTTGTCAAGTTGTTTTTAGCATTTAATTTTAAATTCATTCTTATGGGTCTTGTTCTAGTATCCAGAAAACAGCTACTATAATCGGAGGGTATGTCTACACTACAGAGTTTTGTCAGAAAAATGGCTGTTTTTCTGACAACTTGAGTTCTGTCCACTCTGCAATCGGGTTCTTTCGAAAGTAAATAGAAAAAACAAAGGGGTTTTTCCAGCATTGGTAAACCTCTTTCTATGAGGAAGAAGCCTTTTTTCAAAAGAGCTATTTTGGAAAAAGGCATGTGTGGATGGGGAAGAGGGAGTTATTTCAAAAGAAGAGGAAAGAGGGGAAAAAAAATAGGTGTCCTGGTGGCCACTGTGTCCATAGTAATCACCACTTAAATGCGAGATAGCGTCCATTGACGGCACATCTAGACTATGTGTTTTTTTGAAAGATATGCAAATTCAGCACTAATTTGCATATTATCTTCCAATCGCATTTTTGAAAGCGGATCTTTCAAAAGTGAAAGTAGTCTGGACATGGTTTTTTTGGGGAAAAACCCCTTTTTTGGAAAAAAAAAAAAAAAAAAGCTCTTCCTAAAAAAAGGTGGTTTATGCGGTTTTTCAAAAGGGTTTTTTTCCCCCCAAAAAACCACATCCAGAGTTCTTTCACTTTCGAAAGACCTGCTTTTGAAAATGCGATCAGAAGAAGATATGCAAATTGGCGCAGAGTTTGCATATCTCCTTTCCGAAAAAAAACGTAGTCTAGACGTGCCCTCAGTGTGGATGCTATCTTTCAATAAAGCAGATCACTTTTTTGATACACTTTGGCAGTGTGGACACTCTTTTGGAAGAAGTTTTTCAGAAGATCTCTTCTGGAAAAGCTTCTTTGGAAAGAAGTCTGCAGTCGAGACATAGCCTATGTGAGTCTCTTCATGCTCTTTATCTTTTATATAGTAAGTGCTTTTGGCTCCTTTTTAAAATTTGCACTATTGAAACAATAATATCCATAGCCAACAGTTCCATTTTGCTGCTTGCAGATTACTACTATTACTGCATTTTATGAAAAATGTTTTCAGTGAAAATACTTGATGAGTCTTTGTTGTTCATGTACATTTGACATTCTTCAATTGATGTCTGCCTGAGAAGGAGTTGTTCTTCAAATCCCAGCAGAAATTCCAGGCTTAAAAAGTTTGACTTAAAGACAATTTTATTCCTTTTGCTGAGCCTAACAGTTCAAAAATCTGATAGAAAAGAAGCACATCTTCCTGTGAATATGCTGTTACCTGTATTTGGAAAATAATTTTAAATTGCTATAGGCATCATCCTTGCTTAAAAAGGGATATAACTTTGGATACTGGCATAATGGAAGCCTAAAATAAAAAAACCGTAAGCCAGTTTGGTTCATGTTTTAGAACTAATTTAATTTCAGAATTAAATTTACTTTGAAATTAATTTTTTTTCTTGACATCTACAGATCTGCACTCTTGTTGTTTTTAATACTAGTTTAAAAATCTCTTAAATATGGTGTCCATAATAGCAGTCAGTACAACTTTTCATGATTATATATTCAGTTAGAATCAGGCCTTAAAGATAATGCTCAAGTCATTTTTTAAAATATAGTTATTGTAGATATGATTTAATTTGTTGTGAATAGTGTTAACTTTTCCTGATTTGAGGTGGTGTCCAATAAAAAAAATTCCTTTGATAAGATTGAGTGTGTAATTTATTTAAATTTAAGTAAATGACAGGATGATCAATCACACAGAAAAGTGAGGGTGTTGAGAAATTTTAATTAGAGTACAAAAAGACCAAAGAGGTTTCCCTCAAATTTTTTGCCTATGTGACAATGACATTGTCAAATACTTTATGCATAAAGTTCACTTTTTTGGGGGGGAGTGAGAAATGGGGGGGGGGGAAACAGAAGAGTGTTTTACAAAGTTTAATAAGAAATATTTTTGAATGGCATGTATGCCGATTTAAACAAAAACATTCTTCTAGTTTCTCTGAATTATTTATTATATTTTTAATCCAGACTCACCTGCATTTTCTTCCTAGTCCAGGAGACCTAGAAGGTCAAATGGACAACTTTTTAAAATAAAGTTGGTGGGAGGAAAATGGAGGCTGCCTACACTGTCTCAAATGAGTGAAATAGAAAAAGTGTGTCAATATAAATGATGGAAAGAAAGCTTAGGTATTTGGCCTTCTATCAGTTTCAGTAAACAAGGGTGAAACTGTATTTCCAGAACAAATCATAGCTTCAGTCTTTCAGTGTCAGTCATGTCGGTCCCCACATCTGTTAATTAAAATGGGGCTCCTTGTAAGTGTAAGGGTCTGCCTGTGACTGTAGAATCAAGCTCAAATTATTATGTGAGTGCCATTTTAAATTTAACTTAAAATATGAATATAATCCCATTCCCAGTGAAGTCAACAAGAGTCATTACATTGACTTGAAAGGAGGCTGAGACATTACACTGCCATATTTTATGGAAATATGTTTTTGAATATGAATATGTATACATTGAATGTTTTATGCAAATTTGGACATGCAACATATCATTGAAGAGTTTTTATAATCCCCTGAATGACCTCATCCAGAGTGTGGTGGGGGTGTCTGCCTCACTCCTATCACATCTGTATTCTCCCCTTGTCCTCCCCAGCTGGTGCCTCCAATCTCTCATGCCCAAGTCAGAGTACTCCTGTGCTCTAGCCCCGAAGTCCCAGTCTATATCTTGCCCCTTATTAATGGGGCAGCTCAAGTCCATAGTCCTAATACAACACAACAGTCTAAGATTATTTTAAGGTTTAATAAATAGGGGAAAGTTTTACATTTCCCAGCAGGGGGTCCAGGCTCTCCCACTCCACTGGATCCCAGCCCAGGGCCCTGTTAGTGGTTCGCTCTAGCCACTGAGTCAGCGGGGAAATTCCTGTTGCAACACGCTGACTCTCCAATGGCCACTCACTCACCCTGTGGCCATCGCCATCCTTGGGCTGCTTCCAATGTCTCAGTGCACTGGTGAATCTCCGTCTCCCCTCCTTCCTCTGGGATCTGGCTATTCCCACCTGCTTCTGAATCCTGCCTGGTCTCTAGATGCATCGGGTTTCCGACTTGTGTGGTGCTCTCACTTGCTATTTTTTTAAATGACTTATTTTATAATGGATTTTGGTGACTGATTTCATAGGACTTTAGTGACTGTGCCTCTCGCATTAGAATTATACTGGACTGCAAACAACCATTGGTAATCAGCTTATTACAAACTTCTATGCATTATTTATCATTCTGAGGCAATGATACATGTTTTTTTTCCCCTTCTTCCTCAGAGCTCTACAGAGTGTCCAGTTGGGATATGTGGATGTCTTGCATTATATTATTTTAAACCAGAAGCTTGACCTTGGTACTGTAGATGAAAAAAATCGAAATCTGATATTTTTAGCCACAATATATGACCAACCAAAGATACTGGATTATTTTCTTGACATGGTCAGTTGACTGAAAATACATTAAAGGGTATTAATTATGAACTTCATAGGGTTTATAACAAATTGGTATGACTAAAAGGTGTATAAAAATAAATTCAGAGATCCTTAATTTGATTTTTTTAGAGTGCAAAAGACTCATTTTGCCCTGTTCTTGAGTCACGCTACCAACATTTGTCATTTTACAATCATATTTTCCTACTCTTAAAAATGTTCTCTCTTCCCTCTTGTTGTAGAGAAGAACCACATAACTAGAGGAGACTAATTATACTCCAAAGCCGGACAAATCTGATAAAACAGCTAAAACAGAAAAAGAACTTTTTGCCCTCTGCTCTTTTTATTACATGTAGCTGTTTCCAGGAACAATAATAGTTTAAAAAATATAGAAAGACATGTCACTTAATATGCCTTGTTCCCAAGTGTTGGAAATTAAACATAAGTATTGATTATTAGCACATGGGAAGAAAAATAAATTGCCTTGTCCCCACAGATGGACTCCAAACTCCAGAGCTGAGGAGTGTTGGTTGTGAAGTCCCACATTGAGTCTCTCAGCCAAGGCTATGTCTCCACTGCATGCCTACTTTGAAATAACTCATGTTATTTCAAAATAACAGTGAGCATCTGCACAGCAAGCCTGTTATTTTAAAATAGCAGGCTTCTTATTCCAACTTCTGTAATGTTCATTTTGTGAGGAGTAAGGGAAGTCAAAGGAAGAGTGTTTTCCTTTGACTTCCTGCTGTGTGGACAGTGCCAAAAACTGAGTTAAGATACTTAGACTTCAGCTACATAATTAATGTAGCTAAAATTGCGTATCTTAACTTGACGTTAGCCCACAGTACAGACGTACCCCCAGTGAGTAGAAACTGACAGGACTTGGAGGTGTTCTATATTCTTTTTGGACTTTCCTGGTTTGGGGACAAATTTAGCACCAGTTTTGGCTATAGAACATTACTTATGACATCATACAGAAACAGTAATTTTCTTTGGCAATAGCAGTTTCTGAAAGGTGATCTCAGCAAGCTCAAAATATTATAACTGTGTATTTTTTAAATAAAAATTAAGTGAAATTGCTTATGAAATGAAAGACTGGTTGCAACTAAAAATTGATGCCCTCTTTCTTTAGATTGTAAGCCAGGGAGTCTCTCTTATCTTTGAATAACTCCTAGCAAAATGAGGTCCTGATTTGGGCCAGGAACTTTACATGCTATTATAATACAAATACTTTTCCCACAGAAAAGCTACAGTAGTAGTGCAGGTTTTTCCATATCATTCTGCTAATGATGCCCCTAATCTATGTGGAAGCTCACCTTGAATGTTGAGAGGATATTTCATTCTTCATCTCCATTCAGTTCTAAACCTACTTTTTGAGGCTGGATGTTTCTCAAACACTGTGGTGACTGACACTGTAAAAAAAAAAAAAAAAACACCAGGATTCCACTTAGAACTAACTATTGCATTAGGCTTGATGAGCCTATTAAGAAGTGGACTAAATCAATGAGTGATTTCACACAGGTACCTATCAGCCATCTGATGGTGTAATGACTTTTGATTATTACAGGTTCGGGATACATGTAAGCCTGTTAGCTAATGATAAAAGGCTTTATATTTTATTGTTCTGTGATCTGAAAGACAGCTGCTTTTCTCACTGAAAATCTATTTTGGTTTTTGAGTTCAAAATTTTTTTCCTGCTAAACTTTTGTTCTAGGGACTCCCTATACCTGACATTAACCAACCAGCAGAAAATGGAAACACACCACTTCATGCTGCAGTGAACACTGGAAAAATGCACCTTGTATCATTGCTGTTGCATTATCCTGGAATTAATGTGAATTTCCCAAATCCCCAGTGTGATGGAGCTACTGCACTACATCTTGCTATTGCCTATGGTAAACTTTCTGACACATTGTATTTTCTGTAGTCATTATCCAAAGTTTGGACTTCTGAGCAGACTCTATTTTTAAGTCCCGTTGTTTGTCACTTTGTAATGTAAAAAATAGTGCTGTCAAGCGATTAATCTCAGTGCAGCTGCCTCTTTGGAAAGCTGTGGAAGCCCGGGATCAGCTGGAGTCTCCAGCTGATCCTGAGCTCAGTGCAGTGCTGCCCTGTTGAGGCGTCGGAGTGGCACTTCAAAGGGGCAGCAAAGTGGAGCTGGGGATCAGCTGGAATGCTCAGCTGATCTCTGGTTCCACGTTTCTGCCCCTTTGAAGTGCCACTCCGGCGCCTCAAAGGGGAGCACAATGCGGATCTGGAGATCAGCTGGGCACTCCAGCTGATCCCTGGCTCCATGTTGTTCCATGTTGCTGCCCCTTTGAAGTGCTGCTCCGGAGCCTCAAAAGGGCAGAATAGTCGACTAATAATTCACAAGGTTAATCAACTATTTAATTAACTGATATTTAACATCCCTATTCCCCGCATGTGCTGGCTCCCACAGAGCTGCCTTCCCTCCCCACTCTCTGCGCTGCTTCCTCCCACGGGGGGAGGGGGGGGGGCAGGCAGGAGCAGGTGCTCGTAAGGAGCTGGCTTAAAAACTGGCTCCCTGTGAGCACGAGCTTCCAAATCCCCCCCTCTCCTCCTTCCCCCCCAAAACACATACCTGCTGAAAACTTCAGTAGGTACACGTTTATACAAATAAATGCATTTTAACCTCCCTAGAATATGAGGATACATGAAGGACTGTCTAAAGAAGATTGTATGGAAAAATTAATCTGTGAAGAAGAAAAAAGTTTTGTATGGAAAAGTGCAAAAGTTTT